CACTTGATAGTGTATATAAGAGGGAATGCAACTTACAAAAAGTGGTTGCATTTATTATATATTGTTTAGTTCAATCATAGATAATGAGGTGTTATAAAAAGTCTGAAATTATTATTATTTACTCTATGCAAATGTGTATGATTAACTTGTAGGACAAGCCTCTTAACTGGCTTATTTCCTTTTGTTTCAACCCAAATTAATGATAAGGACATTGTTTAGCTCATCTTTGATGTCGATGATAGTTTGCGATTGTTTACACAAGTAACGAGTTAGCGGAGTATGATATAACCTCGCCGATTTTTAATGTGACCATAAAACATATGCGCCTTATGAAACTACGGTTATCACACGTGCGCACTGGGTTTGTTTAGGTGTGAAATGTCAAAATACGTATTTCACAACCGGAAATTCAAAAGATGAACGTTTGACTTCACATGTTTTAATTATTAGCAACTGTAACTATAACAAGATTCCGAGTGCATACAACAACAATTCCTAAGGACTCCTACAAAATATTATCACAGAGAAAGTGTCTAGGCATGCTCTTCTCTCGATAATATTTTTGCTGTTGGTGTTCGCTGATGTCCGGTGGTCAAAAATTTCGACAGTTTCGGGCGCCAAACTCACGCACCGACAATGGTACCATTGAATAATGCATTGCAATCATTGATTAGGTCTCATTACCATTAAAAATACAAAATCCACGATATTTCATCAGTTCTTCTTCTGATCAATCAATGTCATATTTGACAATTTTCCATTAAAGTTCGCCAAGATCTCCGGAAACAACAGCGTTCAAACTAGACGCCATTTTCAATATTGTACATGCGTGGTTCCACTATCGCTTCCGAACATGCTCCGAATATTACCGAATGCTCGAGATTAGCGTAACCCATTGTACGAAGGTGTTAAGAGCTAACGAGAACCAATGAACAAACATTGACAAACGATCATGGGGCAAAGCTGAAACAATAGCGTCGCGGCTCCTTCCGTTTGTACCTTCCATGATTATAGTAACCTGTGGATTACATCAGTGTAGTGTTATGTATCTCATAATTACTTCGTGTACACAGGTGTAGAGTCTTTTATTTCACCAATCATATTAGTGAAAGTCATATTTGTAATGGGTATACAGTTCTCACTGTCAGTAGCTGTCCATCAAATTTTGCCTCAATATCATCTTTTAAAAAGTACAAATATCAAATACGTGGTTAGAGTGCAGGACATATTTCTCTTCACTCAGCCCACAATTATCTAAAACACTTATCGTGGTTTTAGTAGATGTCTCATTATGGAAAATTTGAAGAAATATTTTTAAACTTGCACCAATGCAGCAATTGTTTGTTTGTTTTTCTTTTGTCATTGAATCGACAAACTCAGTAATGTAGTAAATTGTTGTAATATAAAAGCTTAACTTCAACGAGGGTGGGCCAAATAAGTGTACGTTTAACAATGATATACCTATCAAAAGCAATTGTTATTCTCGGTGGCGGACATCCGGGCATTTTCACCGCCTGGCAACCATCATGGTGAAAACAAAGGGTGAAAATTTGAAACCCTGAACAATTTAACAAGATTACCCCCTTGTATGTCCAACATATATGAATTTGGTTGTCCAGGATTACTTCAATGTCGATTTTGTTCTGTTTTCTCGAAATTAGCTATTTTCACTGCCTCTTCGACCGGCGTCCCACATCAACGCGCGCAGAGCCCATAGTACAGTGTTACGCGTCTTAGCAACGTGGAACGTCTTTTGACTTAGCTCCGCCTCCGAGGATACTGCAGGATCTCACCTTGTGGCGTAGAGTAATATGAATCCACATGCTCAACCAAATGTCAATAAAAAAAATCTGACACCATCAAATCCACAGGCAAACTTACAATTCCGAAAAAAAAGGGAATCGGTCACCTTAGAGAGAGATACAAGTACCTTCAGGAAAGTTGTTTTGAAAAAAGTGAGCACGCTGTTCCAGCCGCCACATACCTCCCGGCGATATACATCTTGAAACCATAAATAAAGCCTGTCAGAATAATACAATCGACTCTGAGAAAAACATTATATTCTTATATCTCACTTTAAACTGAAATAATAATAATCAGAACAATAACATTGTAAATAGATATTATTTTACATTAAATATTAAAATAGTTTTATGTCTTCTATGATATACATGCATGCATATTGAATGAATGCATAATATATTTCAAAATGCAGATTCGAACACAACATTAGAGACATATTGTATCAATAACGACAGGCAATCAAATATACACGTGATCGTATCGACCAATTAATTGATCATTCAAAACATCGTGTTTTGTTCATAGTGTGAAGAGCTCTCTTGGCACTGTCTGTTCTTGTGCTAGCAAAACGGTGAGTAAATACCTTACCTCGACAAATTTGAAAATACTTACACCTAGGTTTGACAGAAATATATGGTAAACATTATATTCGAACCAACTACAATGGTTTTATGAAGAATGCAGAAATTACGCGTCCTGTTCGATATGGGACTCATAGCGACGTATACAACGTGTGTAAAATACACTGTTTATTTACATGAAATTCGAACACGCGCTGCGCGACGACCACCGCGCTTTAAGGTAAGTCTGTTTTAAATATACTGTGTGTCCAAGGATAGACCCTGGGAATCGCACGCAATGAGAGAAGTTTCTTCTCATATATATATATATCTCAAAATAGTTACAACATATGTCACAATGAAGTTCGCCATAACTTTGTCGATATATGAGAGGTTATCGATGCTGCCAATAGACGTATGTTAGTAAGTCTGAATGTGTATGACAATATCTACTCGTTACAATTTAATGCTACGTACCAATAATTCATGATGAGTGTAACAGTCTTAAATGTATAACTGCAGTGGATTGTGGAGATATAAGGAATCAATCGAGATAGCAGAGTTGTTGTGGTAGTGATACAATCAGGATATTTATTTGTAGAGACATCGGATAATGATGATACATGTAGTGATAAGAACTTAGTTCCCGTGCAGGCGTTGGCTTTGCAGCCACGCCTATAAGCACACAGCCCGTGGAACCTCAGTTCCCTCCTCATCATGCTCCCCTTAAGAGTCCTCCCTCTATTTATAAGCGAAACCACGTGATATCGTGAAGTCACTACGGCGCCTAGCATAAGTCAACGTGGCTGGACAGAACTTAATAACATGCCAAATAATGAGTGCTAGACAGTCGAGATGACATTTGACATGGCGCGCATGAAAGTGTGAAAATGGTCCAGACTTGAACAATACATTAGAAAATTACATAGAGGTGTTGGAATGTGGAGATTAAAGTAAATATTACATGGGAAAGTTAACACGTACTGCCATACACGATTGAATGCAATTGTCATGTCATACGAACATGCGGGTAGCACACCAGATTGGTGACATGAGTCATTTCATAATTGCTCTATTCTTCGAATAACTGATGAGTAAACTACATACATAGTACACGAAAACTCAACAACAATGTATACTTATGCGTCAATTCACAATGTACTCTGTGCCACAGGCCATAATGTCTGTACAAAAGTGTTATGATTGCGATCACACAGTCGGTTCACACGCCGTTGTACTATACTAGTAGTTTAGAATCAACAACTTGCATGTTTAGGGTGGAGATTATAAACATATATAACAACAATTTCATAAATAGATTGTTTACTTATTGTATTTAGTAGTGGCAACTTTACAAGGCTTTAGCCGCGAGACACATCCCTGGTAATCACGTGATCGTGCCAGCGACTGCAGCGATTGGCTGGTCGCATGTTTACTCCGTCTACGCCTTAGTGTTTTGACTTTTAATATAGAAAGTGTGTAATCTTTGTAAAGCCCCTTTCACAATTGGTGCCAAACAGACTACAACGGCTTGCGACTCGAAATTTTTCCCGTTGTACGACTCGTTGTAGCCGTTGTACATTTTATTGTACGATCTAGATGCGACAAAATGGTCGCATCTCGGTCGGGGAAAAAACCGTGCTGCTCCGATATTTTTAGCGACTGACGCGATGAAAAATAATTGCACGACAGGCAGTACGAGTGTTGTGCGACTTTACACGCACTCGTAAGACCCCGAACGAGTATTGCACGAGTATTTTCATGTCGAACGATGATGCGTCCTGTCGTACGAGTCCGTTGTACCACCCTAAGACTATTGGAAGACCTGTCTTGCCCCCTTTGCAACGTTGTACGATTTTTTTTTCACCCCCAATATAAGCTCGAGAACTCCTGAGCTTTCATCCCAAATGTCTGGACCATCCATACTGTAAACATGGCTGCTGCTCGGCCACTAGCTCCTGGGAGGCTCTTGCATTTGCTAAGTCTGAGGCAAATCCAAAACGTTCAAGACAGACATGTCATATTGATGGCCTTACGATTTTATATATTGCTTGCGACTCAAAGACAACACTTCTACAACAGGACGGGAAAATATTTTCGAAAAAAAAAATTATCGCACGAGTGAGGCGCCAATTGTGAAAGGGGCTTAAGGAGGGAGAACGAGATAACATTGCAGCGAGGGGTTACCTCGGCTGACTGCTTGTGTGAATAAAGTTGGACTAGCTGTACAGAACAAAAATGTGTCCCCCTTATTCGACGTCCTGTTCATAAGAAAAGGATAACTTGAACCTGTGAATAATATCACAATACGCGATCAAAATAAGTTAAAATGATACACAAAATATTTGTCACAAGGAAAATTATACAACGAGGTACTATGCTGTGGTAGAATCGCCAAACGTAATACCGAAATACAACGGCCAAAATAAAGCACCCTCACCGATCTTGTGATTAGGTTCTTTATAATATATATAATATACAGATATATTGGTATTGATAAATTGATATATGACATGGAGAAAATAAGGAAACTTACAAGTGCAGTTCTAAAATGTCGTTTTAACATTTAATGAAGGTAGCTCATAGCCCAAAATATTGTGGCTTAAGCCTAAAATTACCACCCTATATTCATCTACATTATTGCTTGTCTTGACAATGAAAAAATCTACACATATCATTTAAGATTGTATTATTACTTCAATTGTTTGTTACATGTAAAAACAAACCACTTCATCGCTTCAATCATGTTACTACTTTTTAAACAAATTGAGATTGAATATAACCAACCATATTGTCTCGGTACGCCAACATTGCTGCATGCAGCCATATTTTCTTTTTTGTTTTTTGTTTGTTTTTTGCATACAAAACATGTATAGTACCTATTGTTTTTTGTCTGTTTTTTGCATACAAAGCATGTATAGTACCTATTGTTTTTTGTCTGTTTTTTGCATACAAAGCATGTATAGTACCTATTGTTTTTTGTCTGTTTTTTGCATACAAAACATGTATAGTACCTATTGTTTTTTGCATACAAAGCATGTATAGTATCTATTGTTTTTTGTCTATTTTTTGCATACAAAGCATGTATAGTACCTATTGTTTTTTGTCTGTTTTTTGCATACAAAGCATGTATAGTACCTATTGTTTTTTGTCTGTTATTCAATGGCAGTAGGAGGAATTGGTTTCAATATTGTTGGCGATTGTGTTAAATGTTGCTATGGTAACCAGATATAAATGTCATTTCTGCGTAAAACGGTTATGATTAGCATGCATGAATGAAATAATAATAGAAATGCGGAATAAATGCAAATATTTTATATGAGATGTTTTCCTGAACAATGCATTTTGCTGAAATTTCATTTTTATCAACTAAAATATGTATTAATCGCAGGGGGTATTGTGACAATATAATACATATATATATATATATGTCGGCGCTAAATAGAAATAATGAAAACTATGCCAATCTTCCAATTGTCGCTACAAAATAATGTGGCTATATTTTGCTCCAAAAAGAAAGTGCAGATTATAAACGGGACTATTTTGTGAATTTGTAATGAAAAAGAGGGAGCTGGTGGTGAAAAGTTTAGATAACATTTTGGGCGACCACCATGTTTAGAATTACTGAGCACCCAGCATAATGTAATTATAACAATCCAATGTAATACTAACATTACGTGAAGCGTAACAAATGTACCAATATGGCTAGTAAAACACCTATCCTACTGAATCCTCGTGAACTATAACAACAAAATATTGTGAAATAAAATAGATACGGTACCACTTTCTTTCTAAAAACATGTGTGTGTTGTTGTTGTTGTTGTTGTTGTTGTTGTTGTTGTTGTTGTTGTTGCTGTTGTCGTTATATGTTCTTAGTTATGTTTGTCGCACAAGTAGTGAATGTGTACTATCACGCTATAAAATACTATGACAGAATAACCTGGCTTCGCTCTGTCGTGATACGGTGTGTGTTCTAGAGTGGCTGTGGCGTATGCATACGTTTATGGTACGGAAGATTAAACTTGGAACACAAATGCGTGACAGATGACAAAAGCACTACAACGATCTTATTGTTACTTTTGGTAAAACGAAGATGTTTCGTCTAAGAGCGTTAAATGTAGGAGCATTGCAGGATACATACACACCACTAGATCCACAGCCCCGGGGCCCGCCCAAAAATAAACGAAACGCATTGTTAAAAGCAACACGGGGATCATAAACACATACACATTTCTACCTCGGGCGCGACATATGTCACCAGCCCAGATGACACTACAAAATGCGTACGCAAACCTAGTACGTGAGTTGTGTGTCTGCCTATTGTTCACGACATTTTTTGAGCTTCGTGTCATGTGACCCCAAACTGCCAGTATGTTTTTTTTGACCAGTAAATTGTATAATAGTACAATAATAGATTTAAAGCGGGAGTCGTCACCTGCGCATGCGTCAGACGGCCATAGCATGTCATTGTTTACAAACAAGCGTCCACCCATGAGCCTTTGCGTTTTTAGCGTGTGTTGTTATCGTCGTTTGGGACTAAATTGCCGCGCGTGCGCATGTGACGACCCTCCCGCTTTAACACCTTGACCATCATCTCACCGCGTGTGGCGGTGTAAGTTGTCAACACTTGACACCTGT